CATTGGTTCCAATCCTTAAAGAAAAAACTTTACAAAAAACCGAACATAACAGGATTTGGAGATATCACTGACTTTTTTGACAGAGTTGAATTTCAAAACAGGGGTGCTGCACATACCCACAGTTGTTACTGGACAACTGAAAGCATAGAACCATGATCTCAAATAATGTAATATGATCGACCATGCTGGACCCATTATATGAACCAGAACTATATACCGCCGTCTCCAATAACCAAATACATACCTGCAACAAAAAATGCAGAAGTCTAAATCCCCTAATACAAATCTGCAAAAAAGGTTTTCCATGTCCTTATTGCGAATCCACACACTACCAAGGAGATTTTTGATACATGTATAAATGCCTAACAGAGGCAGACTCATGGGTCGTCCCTTATCATGCCCCCACCCTCCTACTTTGGGATGCACACATGAACGCCCAATACATAACAAGTAAAGAGTTTGCACGGTACATAGCAAAATACATTTCAAAGGCAAAACCTACCCACCTTTTCAACATCTACAAAAACAATTCACTAAGAGAACACGTAATTGCATGAAGGTTAGGCTCAATAGAACTTATATTCCTCCTCCTGGGCCATCAAATATGCAACTCTTTAATCACCATAAAATTCCTCACAACAGACCCGCCGCCAACAAAAACTTGTTCCGTATTGCCCACTTATATGATAGAAGATGATGATGAAAACCCTTACTATAATGACACTGTTATGAAATATATGCATCATATAATCCTTAATTCGAAAACCTTACTTATCCGCAGTACTATGAAAAGTACTCAATTACCCCATCACAACCCACAACATCACACCATACTTATCGTGATGAATTGGGAAATTACGTAGTAAAAAGAAAAAAAGAAATCATAATCAGAAATCACCTACTCAAAATTGAAGACGGTGAACTATACTTCTACTAACAATTACTAATGAATATCCCTGCAAGAAACGAAGACGATTACAAAACAAACATGACAAGATCCTACAGAGAAAAATATCTATCAATATTTCCAAACATATTTTCTGATTTACAAAACCAAGAAACTAAAACCTACCATTCACAAATACAGTATCCAACTTAAACACCCAATTTGCTGAAATGCTAGACAGGCTACTACATACACTTAACCACCAACTACCCATGGACCTCCACCGCATAATCCAAATACAATTAGAAAACCTAAAAATCCTCCCTAATATCGTACCTCCAACTGCTACACTTGAATTACCACAGAACTAATACAACACTTTATCAACAATATCAATATATATGGGTTGAATAAACACCAACAAATGGCCTTATTTCTTTATAACCGGACCAGCTGGAACAGAAAAATCTTATATTATAATCATGATAATAAGACTACTTGAACAAAGATATTCGAGCTACTTGCTTTTAGCACCAACTGGTATTGCAGCCCAAAACATAAACGGAAAACTATATAGTCCAAACTACATATAATCTCTACCCACAAGAGATTTTTTACACAAGCCATCACAAACAAAGAACTTAACACCTACCTAAAACAAATTGACACTATAATAATCGATGAAATATTGATGGTTTCCGCTGAACTACTAGATTTTGTCTCCAATCTCTTCGCCAGACTACACAACAATGCAATAGCATTTGGCGGAATCAACATAATCGCCATAAATGATCTTTTCCAACTACCTCCTGTCACAGGACAACCAGTATTCCGAGCATCACTTTGGTTGTTGTTCTACCCTTATTCCTAAAAACCCCACATAGACAAAATACAGATCCTCAATTTTACGCCCTTCTGCAAAAAGTAAAAACAGGCACCATCTCAACAGAAACCTGGAGCATGTTATATCAACGCCATACAGAATTCTTAGATCACCCCACAATAGATACACTACTAAACACTACACATATAGGATTCAGAGAAAATGCCCAATGAATAAACAGAATAATCTGCAACATGCTCTCTGTAACAAATAATAAATTTCTTTTATCAGAAGCAATAGATTACATAATCAATCCGACAAACTATTTAAGCAAAAAACCAATCTATCATCTTCCATCCGTCTACAACCAGGTGCCTGAGTAATGTATCTTAATAATTTATTAATCGAACATGGTATATGCAACGGCACTGTAGGAATAATAATCGACATAGACCTTGAAAATTAATCAATTCAAATAGCCTTTTCAATAAGAGGTTCCATAATAGACATCAACATACGAAAAGACACAAAATACTTCCAAATCAACAGAATAAACTGTCACCAAACACAATTCCCAATTCAAAACTGCTTTGCCCTCACGGTCTATAAAACTCAAGGTTTGACACTACCTAAAGTCTCCCTATCACTTGACGAAAAAATATTCTCCCCTGGCCAAGCATATGTAGCCCTAAGCAGGTGCCCCACTTGGAACAATGTAGAAATATCCCACCTAGACAGATCAGTCTTTAACACGGATCAAAACGTAATCGAAGAATATCAAAGACTAAAAAACATCACCGCAACATACACTACTCCAATTCCTAAAAATCCAAACTAAAAAAAAAAAAAAAAAAAAAAACGATAACACAAATCACTTCAAACACAAAAATAGAAAAGTACATCAAAAAAAACTACTTATCCTTCGAAACATATTCGTAAACTCCACAAAATATAGCAAAGAACAATTAACTAAAAAATCTAAAAAGATTAAAATCTCATAAACCACACCACGTGAAAATCGATTAAAAAAACTGGCTAGTTATATTTAAATTACGTACGTACTAATTTATCATTATTACATTTCTTATGCGGTTGATAATTAATGACTATATTATGTGTCATTAATCGACGGGGCTTGATCATGGGTATTTGAGCGCAAATTTTTTTGGGGCCCTTATTTGTAATATTTTCAAAAATCGGGCCTCTATTTGTAATTATTTTCATTTTGGGCCCTTATTTGTAATTATTTTCAGTTTTGGGCCCTTATTTGTAATTTCCCCTAAATTTTAATAAGTGCAATGATTTGAAAAATGAAACAATATGATGAGTGATACATGAACAGAAGTTCACATAGTAAAGTAGCTCTTATGAGTAAAATTTACCTTTGATATCTAATTTCATTTATTATATTAACAAATAGCAATTGTAAATGTTAATTGTTTTTGCAAGTTTAACCGGTTAAATAAAAAAATTCGAACTAGTTAGACCAAGTACTTACGTGAAAAATGAACTAGTTATCTTAATTTATGACATTAACAAAGTGATAAATGAGCTTGTTAAATCGGTTTTGATTCTGACGATAACAGTTTAAGTCCCGAACTGAGTCAATATGGTTAAATCCAACTACTTAACATCCCTAATATAAGGTGTGTTAAAACCTATTTAATTTACTACTTGACTACGTATAATTTAGAATAATTTATGAAAATTGCAATTAAACATTAATTGTTTTATCAAAAAAAAACAAAAAACAAATAATTGGCTGCATAGCGGCGCATAACTTACTTTAATTATACAAAAATATATTGGGAAGCGAAAATATCGATATGTGTACGTACATGTATGCAAACACATTAATCCTGATAAGTAGAAAAATCGGATGATCGAAGCAATGTTTGATGTTAAGCGTAATTGTTCATAAATCAGCAGCTTTTCATCATGTTAAATACATAGAATAGAATCGTGGTTTAAACAGGTTAAGTTACACATTATTTATGCATTTAGAAATGGTGATCAAGAAATGGTAATCAAATTCTTTCGCTATGGTCTTTCGTTATGAACTTTGACGATCAGTGATTATCAATTCATCTGTCCTGTAAAATTTCTGACAAAAAAAAAAAAAAAAAGGTTAAAACATGAAAGAAATAGTTGTGCAAAGCTTTTTTAACAACAGTTTAATATTGTGTCAGTATCCGTTAAAAATATTCTACAAAATATAATTATCATATTGCAGTTATTGATATTGATATTGAAGTTATATTGATATTGAACTTGTTTTACAAAAATGAAGTTCTGGTAGTAGATCTAATTACAGAATTAAATCTAATCCATACATGGCAAAAAATTATTACAATCTATCCGTAAATATTCATACCGCCCAATCAGGGGAGTGGGGGTAAATTAGTAAAACCGGATTTCCGTGGGGTATAATCTACCCTTAATTAAACCATTTTTAAATTTTTACGACATCCGTAACAATTCAAGCCTTGGCATGTGATTTATCCTGTTTCTGAAGCAATTTATTTTAGAAAGGAAAGCTTCCTATCATGAATTTTCCCGTAGTGACCCGTTATATAATTTTCTTGACTCTACTAGTTTCTTTCTTCAATTGGACTGGTTTAATATCGCTGAAATGTTCGGCTCCATCATTTGTTATATATCGTCTAGAAATTTTCAATCTTCTTTTGTCTCCATTCCTCTTTTCTTTTTCTATACCGAGCACTTTACTGGCAGTTTGCAATCTGTTCACTCTTAGTATTTTTGAAGAATCGCTAACCCCAGTGATAGGTGGTTCAAAAAAATTTACTTATCTTTTCATAAGCCTTGTTCTTGGTGTATGTTTATTGCGGCAAATCATCGGTTTTATATTTTCTAGATCAACTGGGTGGTCACTACCCGTATTATTTTTCAGTGAATCTTTACACGAATGTAACCAAGGTAATTCTTTACCTACCCGATTACTTTTTATATTTTTACGATCTAACTTGCTTTAATTCATATACTGTAGGACTATCTCCTTTCCTATTTGCTTTATTAGTCTGTATCGATGACAGATCCTTGTTTCATATCAATAAACGGCTTACAAAAATAAAATTTCGCGAAATTACCTTTCAACTATTTATACTATTTATGTGTATGCTTAATTATGCGCACCAAAATATTTTATGGTGGTCCTTGACTGGTTTGGTGATTGGTTTAATCGGTACCATCGCTCTGCGTGTAACTCAATTGAAAGGCAAATTAAAAAGATACAGTATAAGTGAACAATTATTACCAAATCACTACGCAATTATGGCCAAGATTAATAGGACTAATAGCCCCTTACAGAAAATAAATACTGGGTTTAAAAAGTATTATATCATTTTGATTGCTTGCTTCCTCTTATTATTTTGTAATTATTTTTATACTCGACCAAATTTTGTTGGAGAAGCAACGTTGAATAAGATCTTTCCTGATGATCGTTTTCTGTTATCATTCCTCTTAATGACTGCTCCGAGACGTGGTGACCCTGATTTTCTTCTACGTACTATTGATTCATACTTGAACAACTTTCCTGATAAGCCTGGTGTGAGATCTCTATATAAGCGTACACAATTGATTGTATACACCCATTTTAGCAATCATCCCATATTCGACAAAGCAAGGTCAATATATGCAAATGATTTAAAAGCTCAAAATTATCTTCGATTCCATCGAGAAAAAGGTTCTGAGATTAACCAACGGTTACATGTATCTAAGGCCATAAAATTTGTGGCTGAAAATTTTAAAAGTGCTTATATTGCCCTTGTGGAAGATGACTTTCCTTTATGCGACGGCAAATGGAAAGAAATGTTGACAGTTATATATAATGCCAATTTACGAGTTCCTCGACATTGCGGCATTTTTGTTGGAACGGGTGGAAGGTAGCTACTTTTTTATGCTTTCATTTATTCTAAATATTTATATATATATATATTAATGCACTTGATAATACAGTGGCCTCTTTATGAGAAATAACAAAGCCCTAGTTGCATCTGATCTTCTTTTAAAGGAAGAATCACGGGAAATTCCTCCTGACATTATTTTGCAAAACTGTCTTATGGGTAGGGCTAAAGGTTGCGAAGAATGTACACAGACACTAGTTACATCAAAGGTTTTATTGATGTACCATATTGGATATAATACTTCTACAAGCCCAGATAGAATATATTTGAAAAAAGATTTCCAATGTGGCTGGAGACACCCATTTGTAAGTAACATCATGATCTGAATGTTTCTAATTGTATTATATTTTATATGTATTTATTTATACATTTTATTTCACAGAATGGTGATCCAAGTGTTGTAACACTATAATTGGCATTGTAAATAGTACATATTAATATTCATCCTTTATATTTAAAGACAATTATAAAATTTTTTTAAGCATATTTACTATTAGAATGGTCTTTTTAGCAACTAAAAATTTTTTTTTAGTTGTGAAAAAGTTGGATCAAAATTATGAGAACAATTTATATATGACGTCTATTTGCCGCGTAATCGAGTATTAACTTTCACACATGTTATATAGCCAAAAAAAAAAAAAATTATTTTAATAACTCTAAAAGATAGATTAATTATTATAGAAATTTATTATTTTAAATCTAATTTAAATATTCTTAATTTAATTTTAAATAAAAAAAAACATGGTCGATTTAATAAATAATTATACTGTATATTGTATAAAAATACAAATAAATAAAGCATATCTAACTTCGCAATATACATTATTTAATATTTTATTTATAACAATTACTTTAAAGATAAATCCAATTGTAACGCCTATTTACACGTAATAATTTCAATTAAAATTTGAAACTAAATATATATCATAAAATTTATCTTTACATTATCATCAAATAATTATATTGAGATTTGACTGTAATGAAATTTTTAGTGAATTTTCCCAGGACATTGCTCAGGTCATAAAATTGCGGAATAATGTCCGTGTACGATATTATGCCTTTATGTTAGGACATTATTGGGGATACGTGACATTAATATTTTGGCAAAATCAATGGACAAACGATATGAAAAAATAGATATTCATGATTAATGGAATCTTTGTGGTTTCACCTTGCATTTTAAATGGGAATATTATAAAAAAGGATCTTTTAATCAATGCAGTAGGCATGGTGTTTAAAAATAATTTCTCAATTATTATATCACAATAATATTAAACCTACAATTTAATTACTATTTTTATTATTATTATTATTACTATTATTATTCTTGGAAAGTTTCACGCTCTGTTCAAAGTAACTATTTGGATGCGTGATTGTTTCCATTAAATGCCTTTCACCGCTATCTCTACTAATCGAATCTTCCAAACATTTTGTAATTTCAAAATATTTAGTACAAGCGACTTGATAATGTTTACCTCTGACAAGATCAAGAATTTCTTTCAAATTTTCGTCTTTTCTTACACCAGTTTGAGCCATGAAAGCTCTCAAATTGTCCTCAGAAAAGTGTTTAAATGGGCATCCATGTTGATCGCCGGGACCTGGCTGTTTATTCGTGATTATTGAATGACAACTAAATTCAAACATATAATGATTATTCAAGTCAAATCGAGTAAAAGAATCTAATTTAATAATACCTACTTCAATGGTAAATAATCTTGGCGTTTTCCTTCCATCCCGTAATTGTGCCTTATGTTGTAAGCATAATCCTTCTGAAATTTTTCATCAGTAATGGTTGAGAATGATTTTCTCCAAAAAATAAGAGCTTCCTCGACAGTAAGGCCAATTCCCTACATATTAAGGCACGGATGAATCTCAACTACAGATGATTACAAAAAACGGTAAAATAGAAAAACCTTCAAGAATAAATTGTATTGCATTCTTGCAAAATGCTTGAGATGGTGGAGTTCGCGAAGTTTCCGATGCAAATGCTGCATACACAATGGAAAATGCCCAACCAACTAATGTGTAAACAAAATGTTAAAATTAAGATCATATAAATGAAGGTAAATACAATATTTTGAATTATAAATACCTGATCAACATTATCAGCTGTTACCTTATCAACAACATTATTACCATTCATATATGTTTTACCAAGATATTGCTGATTTATATTATTTAAAAGCGGTAAAATTCTTTCATCATCTATGCTTGGAAACGCCCTACTTGCTAACTATTATAGAGTAAAACTTTGAATAATTGATAAAAAGTGATAAACAAAAATAAATCACACTTACATCCAAAGCGGTATAAAGCTTTTTACGAAACTCCCCTACGACAAGAGTAACTTGTTCAGATATTGGAACGTAAGCTTTTCCAGCTTTTATATATACAGCACGTCGTGAGACAAGATCTGGAACTTGTTCGAAATTCACCTGTAATTAATAAAGGCGATTACATATGACTAGTACATTTAATAAGGATATTGTACAGGATATGAATTCCAATTTTACAATAAAAAAAGTTTCATCATCGAATTTGATGTGAGGATTTGCGAGTGATAATTCATTTCTCATAGATTCTTTCTCATTTTGGGTCAACTGCGTGATTATTAATTAGTAATTTAGAGATAAATGTTATTTGAAATTTTATTTTAAAAAAAATAAATAATACATACATCTTTCCAATTTAGTCTCTCGTTATTTAAAAAGGCTTGTCTTTCTTCTTTATTTTCCTCAATAAACCGAATTCTATAACAAAGCCATATATTTTAACAAATATCGGAAATATATTATTATACTCCATTATGCTCGAGAATCACCTGAACAAAGCGCATTCATATTTGATAAACCATTTACGAAGTTCATCTCTTTAAAAAAAAAATAAAGGTAACTTTGTATAATCATAGATGGTTAGAAATTGGGTTCGATTTATTAGTCTTACGTTCTGCAGTAAGCCAATCTCAGAATAAAATGGGATATATGATCTTTGCGTCGTTCTTGTTCTAATGGATAACCCTTGCCTCCCTCGGTTGAGTGCAAAGGAAGATATTGATTTGATACATCCCGTATATGATCCGCAACTTGCAATTCAGTTTTAGTTCGTAAACTGGCACTTTCAATGGCTTTCAAGACTATAACGACAATTATTATCAAAAATAAAGGCTTAATTTTACGAAAAATACTCGTTAATTAAATTACCTTGTAATCTATCTAGAGAGAATGTTTCAAATTCTTCAGTAGTGATTTCTTCTATAGGTGGAATGTTATAGAAGTTGAGTCGATATGGATATTTTTGATTATGATTTTTAACTTCACCAGTTTCCGAGGCTAATGTACGTCTATGAGAAAACATGTTTAACTGAAGAAGCTTAATTTTAATTCTAATGTTGGTTCTTTTATTCACAGTACGCGTAAATTAATGAATTACGCGTCCTATACCTGATATGTAATTGGGTGTGACTTGTGCAACAATACTTTATCAATATAGAAAATACAGATAAATTCTGTGACTGTATGATGTGCGAAACAGATGCTGAACTTGCCGAAGAAGAAAAAAAACAAGGGATTCAGCATCACCTCGAAGAGAACTGGCACAATCATGTTAGGAAGGTTGTGAAGAAAGAATGAGATCAAAAAAGTAAAATACCTTAAACCAGTGACTCTCAAAAACCTCGCGAACTTCAAGTCTTCAATATACTTTATATAAATACAAAAAATGAATCAACGACCCTTTCTTTGTATTGAGTTGATCTTGCCTAATTAGTGAGTTTCATTCACGTTCGGACTAATCAATACTGTAAATATACACACTCTTTTAAATATTCACTTTTTTGAAAACACACTTCTAAAGTTCACAGTTCCCCGAAAAGTTCTGATTTCCCTCGTGAAACTAGAGTAATTATTATAATTTATTACTATGATAAAAATTAAATTTTATAACTAATATTTTATATACAATTTTTATAGTTTTCTAAAAAACGAGATACTACGCAAGTTACCGAAGACCAAATGTAGGGAAATATATACCAAAGTAACATTATAAGCAAAATTTAATCTGAATATGGGTATCCTCAGATTAGTGAATTCAGGCAATGTCATGATAGTATTACCTTATACTCGAAATCATTTGAAATGTAGCTTTTATCGAAGTAGTCATTCTGATAATATAAAACTAATATTGAAGGACTTGCGAATGAAGCTTCGGTTGCAGAACAAATATGTTGTGTGGTCTGGTCTTGGTCTAACAATATTTTTTAATCAAATCAAAGAAATTTTTTTAGTGAAGTCAACTTTGAAGTTTTCGAACGAAAAGTGCGCTCTTTTTTTTTTTTTTTTTTTTCTACTGTGAACTTCTACTCGACTATAAAAATTACAGAATTGACAACCTTTGGTATTCACTCCAAGCTTTTAATTTGAACACCCCAACTTTGTTGCTAATAAAATTTTTAGTTCAGAAAGAACTGGCTGTGAATTTTTTTATTATTAAAAAGTTAGTACTAATCATACAGTACTATATTTTATAACAGGCCAACAATAAATATATACCATTAGAAATATATTGAGGAATTATAAATGAATGTTGTATTGTAATTTTATATAACAGAAGTCTAAAGTTAACTTGAGATCAATGTCAGAGACTAAAGAAGTTTTAACCAAATCTGTAACTGAAAAAATATTTATATATATATATATCTTTTATCTCTCTTTATTAATTATCACCATCTGCAACTACACCATCTTCTGATCACACATTTTCTATTATATATATTAGGAATAATACGAATAGTAGTAGAGTATGGTTTAGTAAAGTAGTGGAGTATAATATGCTAAATTAGCAAACACATGTGTATGGTTGATGAGGTTACTATTACATATAAATTAATATATCATGCTTGTAAACTTATAATATCGGGTCCAATTTTTATAAAATTTGATATTTAGAGTTTAAAATATTCGTTTGATAGTTTATTAAATAGCAAAATTCAATGATCATAACAATGTTTTATTTTCTTTTTTGTAAAATCGCTTTTAAAGATAGCTTCAAATGATGATAGTTCTGATGAGGAATCTATCCTATTGATTAGTAGCTCTTCTAAGGATGAAAATTTTTTTAAAAAAAATAATTCTTTTAATAAAATTGATAAAGAGAAATTTTTTCTTGAAAAAATAATTCTTTTAATGAGAACTTGAGAATTTTGATATTAATGATACATTTGAAGATAGGTTTTCTGCAGATTCTTTTTCCCAAGAACCTTCTAGATCTTCACCTGAAATAGAAAGTTCAGAAATATTTCTTACATTATAAAGCACAGCACTCTATGTTACTATCTCAAGACATTCAAAAAACAATTAGATTTGTCAAAAAACAATTCTCAAAGAACTTGCATAATTGCATGTGGGAAAAAAGTTTGAAATAATAACAATAGTTTTTTTATCACTATAATAAAGCTATTTCATAAAATCTTAATTTGTGAGAGTATACAATCCCGCAAAATCTTCATTTTTTTAAACATTTCTGTCACATATCGTTATATTTTAATTACAGTAGAATTTTCATGAGGGTCACATATAATTACGACTATACTATTTTATATATAATACATATTATGAGTATAGTATGCAAGTTTTTATATACTCAAATAACAGGAGGAAACGTCTAAATATAGATATGATTTTCATTCTCCGTTACACATATCACTCATTGTATCGACAAGT